AAGATGCACTTTTAAAATTGTTGGCTGGGGCAGAATTCATTCAGCCAGGCTGTGGAGCTGATTTTCACAGTTAATCAAACCTTGATAGGATTTCTTCACAGATCCAGATGGTGGTCTGGAGGACAGCACTTTTTCTTTGTGGTTTATTGACAGGCTTGGAGTCATGATTCATGCTCTCATGGCAGATTTTAAGGCAGAGCTGGGTTCTCTCAAGTAGGCTGCTGATAGGCTTTGCACATAGAATACGAGGGCTTTATAGTGAAAACCCGCACCATCAGTTATTAATTACCGAGCCATTGCTATATGCCATGTTCTACTGTGGGCTGTGGTGTTATGTGATGGATTAGAACAAACGCAAACAAAATCTGTGGCTTTCAAATTTTCAGTCTATTGTTGGTAAGAAATTCGAAAGCAGGGAGAAGCGGGTGGTTGGGAGGAGCTGAATGCATCTCCCCTCTCTGTGTTTTATTCAGTATCTGAAACCAAGGACAGTTTGATCCTTCGTGTTGATGGGGAAATGATGAAGTAGTGTTATAAATGTAGACAGGTTTATCAAGACAATACAAGAAAATACCCCTCTATCTTGGGAGGCAGATCTTTGGAACTTCATTTCTCTTGGCCAGTGTGGATTACTTCATTGAGCCATGAGGGTACAAGTAGGTAACGGCTGAACCCTCACCAGACTACTTACAGATGCCATCTGTTCTGCTGATGTTTAATCAAGTGGAGAGATGAAATTAGCCAAATGCATTCTTGGGCGGTATGTGGTACCAGTCTTTTCTTCTGAGTAGTATAATTTTGGCATGTGTGTTCTGGGCCTATTATTGAAAACCTCACCATTTCCAAATTTCCAGATTAATTCACAGATTGGCTTTCCTGGAAATCACAGGCTGTTCTTTGAAATTAAATCTTGTGAAATAAAGCATCAAAGTTTCAAATTTTAGAAATGCCTATGACTCAAGGAAAAACAAAGATGCCAATGGTGTCAGATGGTCACACAAGATGATTTTCATGTAATTGATCCTTTTTAAAGCCAATGGTTCTAGCACAGCTTTACTTTTCCAATGTTGTTAATTTATATTCAAACTATATAATCCTGGTTCTTTCATTATAATAATAATTTACCCCCCCACCACCACTGAGTTAATTTCCTAAAATAACTTCTTTTTAGACAGATGCTGGGTAAAATCTGTTGAAAGAAATATAAACAAATGATTGATGGGGGTTCTGAGAATAGTGCTGTGTGAGAAGAATTCTTTTTGCCATCTCAGTTGGTGTGGTGAGAGGTTGTGGTGAAACAGCTCTTCCTCTCTGAGAATAGCATGACCTTCTTGTCTTATTCTCACACCTGCTTCGCCAGAGCAGTATTTTCCCTCAGCAAAATCTAGTGGACGGTGTGTTCTTTAGGAGTGAAACCCACTGAAAATATGATTAGCTGAGGTTTTGAAAAAGGACCCAGCAACTACCAGAAGGAAAAGACAATCTTGAAATGCAATGACCTAAATTCTTTCATTCTAGATTCCTCTCCGTCTTGTCATCAATGGGAAATTATTTATTATGTCTCTGGAGTATTGTAAATGTTCCAGCTGCTATTGCAAACTGGGGGGTGGGGTGAGCAGTGAGCAAAAGACTGCCTCTCCAAAATAAGACTTTTGGGCAAAAGGTTAATTGCATGGGAACAACGCTGAAAATTGGATGAAGATTGCTTTTGAAAAAGATACTTATAAGTAAATTTCAATAAGGCCATGTACAGGAAGACCTGATCTCCTCTCTCTTTTCAGTGGAGAAAGCAGAATTTAATCCGCGCCTTTCGTGGTGACCTGCCTCACTAACTTTCCATTCTCCCCCACAAAGTCCTTCTGCCTTAGCTAAGCTATTTAAGATGGCGTCCGAAGCCCTGCGAACGAGTTAAATCAGTCCTGCTGTGTCTCCCCCATGTAGACAGGAGGTATACACGGTATTATTAAATTTCCTTTTGCCTTTTTCTCTTATTAATCTGTCTAATGCTTGTCTGACTTTGCCCAGCGTACAGAAACCCAGAGGGTTTCTGGATAATTTCCTTTGTGCCCTCATGGATGCAGCTTCCATTTTACCAAAGTTCGGTGCGGACTGCGGTTGTTGCGTCTGTATTCTTGCTTCCATCCCTGGAATTGTGGTCAGCAGCTCAATTGCAAAGGGTCACACCGACTTTTATATTACAGTGCCAATCGAAATATCATCCACCTTCAATTCCCATCTGCTCTAGACTTTGTCCTAATTTTACAAGGAACTGAGAGCTCAAGCTCCTTTCTGAAAGTTGAAGCAAGATCTGAGTATGTAGTTTGTAATTCTGTTATTGAAGACTTGAGTAACTTTCTTTCCTGAGCTAACACTTGGCATTCAGAGACTGATTTTTATTCTAGGAACATCTTGATCTTACGCTTGAAAGTTTTGAGTTGCTTTTCTCCTAGAAACACTCAGGTCACATGTGGAACAGATGACAGTCAGTGCTCTGGGAGATCTTAGAACAGAATGGGACCTGCAGTTGAGAGAAAATGATGTGTGCTCCTTCAGGTGACTGGGAGTATCAGCTGCTTCCATTTTGATGGGCTCAAATATGGCACAAATGTGGAGTATTATCAAGTGTCAGGCATTACCTTAGGAAGCCCAGATCATTCTTTTAGTTTCCTAGGAAACCAGAAAATAAAATACCTTTCTACAACTTTTATACTTAGTTATGACTAAAATCTCAATTTGGTAAAAGCATTCAACATCCATTTACTTAGGATTATTTTTGAAGTTGCCAAGTGTATATAGTGAATCAACATTCACTCAGCCGCCGTTCAATGAGCTCATTTAGAAAAGGTTTGAGTGAAAATTTACTTCTGCTTTGTCTATACAAAAAAAGAAAAGGATGGCTAAGCAAGTCACTATGTAAAGAAGATTGTAAGGGTCTACCTATATTTATATATATCGTTTATTTTAAGGATATTTGGAGATGCATGTGGTTTGTCTCCTGGAAAGGGTCGGGTAGGATTTTTACAATGTTACCAGGATAGGCCCTTTGTTACCTTTATACTGAAACTCCAGGTGAGGAAAGACACTATGTGCTTTGGAGGGTTTCTTATCACTACTTAAAGACTGGTGGGGGGGGGGTTTGTATTTTGAGTTGAGAGTATTAAGAACGCTGGAGGCTGAGGAGAAGCTTCTTGCCTGAGTCTTTTGACCTTCCCTAATCTGAGAAATTTATCAGCGCGAACCCCCCCCCCCCTTTTATGACCTAGAATAGTTTGGGAGGGTTTCATCATGGGTTGTAAGTTTACTAGTGAACATGTGCCTTCTGTTACTGTTCTGAATCTCATCTTTTCTCTTAAAGATGAAGTAACCTCCTCCTTGTCTGAGGTCTCTCCTTCTCTTTCCTCCACCTCTACTCCCAAAGTACAGAATCAGTATCCCTAGTCTGCTCCCTCATGCTTTAGAATTCACAATCATGTAAATTCTCTATACACCTGTTATTAAATGCTGGCTTTTCCCTCCTACTAATATATCTGATGTTAATGATCAGAAGAACCCAGAAGGGGTGGGGGAAATTTTCCTCCATGCCCCAACACATATAAATTAATTAGTTTCTAGTCAAAAAAAATTACCACATATCTTTTCAAACAATTCTAGGTCAATAGTGAGCTGACAGTACTTTATTTGCATAACTGTAACACAAACTATTTTCTAGAGAGTGAGGTTTCTTTATGTAATCCTATCTTAGCAATCTTGTAAAATAGAAATTGAATAGAAATTGATGCCACATTTTAAGTAACCTGTGATATAAATACTAAAATATTTTATTAAAAACTATACTTGATTCTAGTCAAAAGGCACATGTGCATTAAAACAAGAACTTATCTTAGTGATGATAGTTAAGATATAATTTCTGGGAAGCAGATGGAAGAGTATTTGAGCTACAATGTTAAGGTTTAATTTATAGCACTGACTTGTCCATTTGTCACATTATCAGACTATGCCTTGTCATTTCTGTAGTTCTGACTTCACAGAATTACTTCAATATAAGGTTTGAAACATTAGGTTCTCTCGTGAAACATTAGGTTCTCTCGTGAAACAGTTGGCTTTGTATTGCAGTTTTAATGTGTCTCCACATATATTTCTTCTTCTTAATTATATTAACTCATCCTGCTTCTTAAATGTTCACCTCTTCCCAGCGATGCTTTTGGAGAATTTCAAAATGTTAACATTGTGATGGTTCAGTTACAACTGATGACATTTCTTTGAAATGATAAGGCCCTGTTCAAATCATGCTCTTCCACGCTTTCAGAAGAACAGAATGCAATTGCCCACAAAACATTATTTTCAGAGCCAACAAGGAGAGTTTGAAAATCTGATGTTAATATCCCTTTTGCCATGATAGGATTGGGTCTCTGGCTTGCGGGCCAGCCAGGTCTCAGATGCCCAGCCTCTGAGCGTTGTCTCTGGAACTACGGGGAGTGGTGTGATTCTGTGCTGGTACTGGGAAGGGAGAGGTTAAAGGGAGAAGAGAAGCGAGGGGATGATTCTCGCTCTGTGTATCTTTGCTCTCCATTGCACACTGAAGGAAGCCCAGGTGGCGCCATGAAGCGCCAACTCGTGTCCTGGCCTACCCGAGAGTGGCAGTTTGCTCGCTGCCCAGCCTACCTGGCGAGTCCCCACAGCCTGTGTCCTGCACACGGGGCTGCCCCTTTCTCTGGTTCTGTCCTCTCTGCATGCGAGGACTGCACTCCTGCTCCCTCAAGGCTTTTCTTCTGTTCACTTATGTTATCAATGTCTCTACTCGACATAACATGTCTCCTCAAAAATGTCCTGTGGCGGAGAAGGTCCTCCGGAAGGACAAGCCAGGCGCCCGGACTACCTGACCCTGCTTGCCTGGTCAGTCTAATGCCATAGAAAATATTTCAGGCAGACATAGACTGCTCTACTGTGATTGACACATACTTCGACACTGTTTCTTCTCTTACCCTTTTTATCTCCTTCAGGTTTCAAAAGAAGATTTTTTGAACTACTATGCTGGTGTTAGTGCGTCTATTGACACCGATGCTTATTTCATTTTAATGATGAGAAAATCCTGGAGTTTATGAGTTTTGTCTGAGTTCTTTTGGAAATCAGGGACTCTCAGAGTGGAATGAGTTTGAAAGAAAGCCAATGCTATAGATGTTGATAATGTGTAAGCTCAAGTCTCTGAAAGACCTGAAAATTTAAGAGTTTTAGATCTTTGGTCATTTTACTTGATTACTAGACTACATTCATTTCCTTAAATGCCTGAGGAAACATTTTTAACTCTGAGATAAAGGAAGGAAGGAAAGAGCAGAAGGCACAATGAAAGAAGACTCTGAAGTGAGGCTGGGAGGCAGCGCCTGCCTGTGACACTGCTGGTGAGAGGCTTCCCTCTAGGAGTTGCAAATCCAGCTCCCACTCTGTTGACTGTCCTGGGAGTCCAGGAGGTGGTGATGATTAAGGCCAGCGGGAACATTGGATGCTGTAAAACTTCCTGAACTTACTTATGTTAATGTCTTTCTTGACACTTTACAAATAAAATTTATTTTACCCTGAAATGTAAGTTTTGTTGTTGTATTTTCATATTTTACTGCAGGGATTCACACTTAACAAATATCCACACTTGCACGCACGGGCCATGTGAGTGCCTGTGGTAACAAGGCAGGTGGGCCCAAGCAGGTGTGTTGGGAGGAGCTGGATTCCTAAGGCGGGCTCACTCACAGCAGCAGAGGCCAGGATGGAAATGGGAGCAGGGAAAGGAAGAGGCTGCTTGAAGCCTGGGGCCTTAGGGAGCATTGGGGTCAATGGGGGAGGACTTTGAAGCTGCTTTGGGGGGTCATCATCATCGAACCCAGTTAGAGGCTTTTCCATAGGAGACTGATGTTGGATTTCCCAGTGTTGTATTTCTCTGTTGACTTCTCAGGTAACAAAAATGACTGAGGGTTGATTAGCCACATACTGACAGCCTCTTCATCTTTGCAAACAGGTAGTGCAGGCTGGGAGAGGAGGTGGAAGGCTCAGTCTGTGCTTCTCAAATGTTAATCAGCAAGCACCTCACATGGGATCCTTTTCAGATGCTCATTCTGCCTCAGAACTCTGGAGTGGGGACTGGACAGGAGCCTCTGACCAGCTTCTCCAGGATGACGATTCCACCACTGTTCAGATAACGCTTCTGGTAACAAGGGCTAAAAAGCGTCTAGCTTTTATATTTCCAGTGCATTTGGCTTATTATTTGCCTACCTTTGGCTGGCCATCTTAACTTATGACTTCTGCCTATGGGTGCTTGTTTAGAGTCATGGAATTATGAAGAAAGTATTAAAGAAAATGTATGTGCCTTACAGGCATGTTTAGCAGAGAAATACCCTTTTTAAAAAATGTTTTTATTTTTTAATAATATAATAGCTTGTTTTTACATCATTTTGTGACTTTTTCCTTCTAAATTGTAATCTCCATAGGATTTGTAATCACCAAATCACCTGTGTGCTATCACCATAGTCCAGTGCACTTACCCCCCCCCCACCTTTTTGATCCCATTCCCCACTCCACCCCCCATAAAATGTTTCTGGTATATAGCTGTTCATTATTATTATTATTATTTTCTCCCCTGGTCCTTTATACTCCTGCTATGAGTGAAACCATCTGGCATTTTTCCTTTTCTTTCTGGCTTATTTCACTAAGCATGACCCCTTCCAGATCCATCCATGTTGCTGCAAAAGGCATGTGTTAATCGTTTTTGATTGCTGAGTAATATTCCATTATGTATATGTATCACATCTTATTAATCCAGTCATCTACTTTTGGGCATTTGGGTTGATTCTGTTGTAAATAAAGCAGCAATAAACATGGGGGTGCAGGTATCTTTTTGAATCAGTGTTTTTGTGTCTTTTGGGTAGATACCTAGGAGTGGGATTGCTGAGTCATATGGAAGCTCCATTTTTAGCAGTTTGAGGAACCTCCAAACAGTTTTCCATAGTGGTTGTACTAGTTTGCATTCCCACCAGCAGTGCAGGAGAGTTCCTTTTTCTCCACATCTTCGCCAACATTTGTTGTTGCTAGTTGTTTGAAGATGTGCCATTCTCACTGGGGTGAGATGGTATCTCATTGTGGTTTTAATTTGCATCTCCCTTATTACGAGTGATGTTGAACATTTTTCATATGCTTGTTGGCCATCTGCATTTCCTCTTTGGAGAAGTGTCTTTTTAGCTTTCTTGCCCATTTTTTGATGGGTTTGTTTATTTTTGTTGAGTTTCAGCAGTTCTTTGTATATCTTTGTGATCAATCCTTTATCACTAGTTTTGTGTGAGAAATTTTTTTCCCAATCAGTGGGATTCTATTTATTTTTTATTTTTTTTTAAGATTTGTTTATTTGTGCATACAGAACTGGGGTACAGGCCAGAGGCTCGGGGTGGTGAGAGGCTTTACCAGAGACAGAGTGGGGAACAGAACAGGCAGATCGACGAAGTACACTGCTGAAGGGAGCAGTGGGTGGGTCAGGAGAGGTCTGCACACCATCTGGTCACCACTGGGGCAGGCGGGAATAGAACTCATGTGGAAGCGGCTTTAGATTCTCAATGCTGTGCTTTAACCCACTGTGCCACCAGGGAGGGCCCAGGATTCTGTTTTTTGTAATGTCTCTTTTGCTGTACAGAAGCTCTTAAACTTGATGTAGTCCCATCTATTTACCCTTTCCTTCACTGTTGTTGCATTGGGTGCTGTATCTTCAAAGATGTTACTGAAGTGTATGTCGAGTAGTGTTTTACCCATCTTTGCTTCCAGGTACTTTATGGTTTTTGTTCTTATGTCTAGGTCTTTAATCCACTTTTAGTTGGTTTTTGTGTATGGTGTGAGGTAGTGATCTAGTTTAATTTTTTTGTATGTAGCTTCCCAGGTTTCCCAGCACCATTTGTTGAACAAAGTTGCTTTGTCCCATTGTATCTTCTTTGCTCCTTTGTCAAAGATTAGCTGCCCATAAGCCTGTGGGCTTATATCTGTGTTTTCTATTTGAATCCACTGGACTGTGTGTCTGTTCTTGTTCCAGTACCATGCAGTTTTGGTTATTATGGCTTTGTAGTATAGCTTGAAATTTGGGATTGTGATGCCTCTGTTCTCTTTCTTTTTACTCATGAGAATTTTGGCTATTCGAGGTCTTTTGTGGTGTCATATGAATCTCATCAACATTTGTTCTATTTCTTTGAAGAATATCATTGAGACTTTTACTGGGATAGCATTAAATCTGTATGTTGCTTTTGGTAGGATGGCCATTTTTTTTTTATTTGTGCATACAGAACTGGGGTATAGGCCAGAGGCTCAGGGGCGGTGAG